CATAATATGGTATTCGAACTTGTAACGATATTTAACTTTGCCTTTGGGCGTTTTTTAGAGATGACCAAAGCCAAACGTTTATCAGATAAAGTGCCGTGTAAGATGACTTTCTTTTACAGCGAGGGCAATAATAAAAACGTCGATTTCCCATACGTTTGATCATAAAATTAGCAATGCGTACAGTGCCAATCTGATACTATAAAGTAATAAAAAAACTACATTTACAATTAAAGTCACCATAAATAATCCAATATTCTTGCATATTTCATAGAAATTTAGAATATCTTTTGAAGTAAAATAAAATCATATTAGAAGGAATTTGTGAGAGTCAATTCGTAGACATTTACGAATACGATACTATGTCTACATTTACATAATACGGTTTCAATAAAAATTAATTTGTGGGCTTGGAAATTCGATTCGATAGAAATTAAATATTTAATAAGATGGCAAATCAGTTGTTAGAAAAGTACACTATGTCCTATGCATAGTTTGTATTAGTAAATAATCAAACATACATGATCTTTGTTGAAAATACGTTACGAGAACAAATTCTAAAAAACTTCCTTTATTCCCAATAATAAAAGAATGATATCGTGTCAACTTTCTCGCAACATAAATGAAATATAAACAAATTTAAATATAAAAAAAATTAACGGTTTAACTTTTCAGTATTTACAACTAATTTAGAGTCTTGAAAATCAGCTGAGTGCCACAATCTGTTAAAATATGATGTCTTTAACAACAGTTGCACACACGCAAAGAACAAAAGAAAAGAACACTGGACATTTATCGAGAATCCCTCTAAGCAATTCTACCTTCTGTTCTTACAAATGCTTCTCTTAAACTACAAGTTAATTTGATAAAAAATATAATAGTATTTAAACTTTTCTTTTTGAATGTCCAATGGATTCAAAAACTCAGCGAAAACCGATCGAAAATTCATTGTCAACAAGCTATTCTTTCCATTATTCTCCTTGGTAAAAGGAGATGTATTACGCTGAAAAGCCAACTATATGTTCCATAATAGAACTGCTATGTAGAAAGGGGTTATGCAACTCGCTCTTCAGCTTATCTTTTGTTCTTCGTTAATGCACCTTCATTGTTCTTTGGGTAGCAACTAATGGATGGGACAGACATTTGCATGGACTTGACCTAATGAAAACTAGTCAACATTAAAGTAAAGATCTTTACTATAGATTAGTACCTTATGTTAAGCATACATCACAGTTAATGGCTGACATTCCTTGTAAAAATTTGTTTTATGATCTTTATAAATAAGAATAACGCACGTGTACTTCACAGTCGACTCCCCAAAACTTTATGAGGTAAATGTACATGTTTAAAAGCAAAATAAACTATACATTTCTAACAGACAAAGCATAAAAAATATTTTTTGAAATACTACTTAATATAGAATTTCGTTTCTTCATGTTATAAGACAAATAATTCAACACATTCTACTTAAAACATTTTTCCGAGGACCTTTTTAAAAGAAATTTACATGTAAATATCATCATCATCATATTCGGCAAGATCCCCTCGTGGGCCAGTGTCTTACTTTGAAATTTCCTTCACAGTGACCTCTCATTTAATTTCGTTCTCCAAGTTTTCTCGTTTATAATTCCAAAGTCTGATTCCACTAAGCCTGTCCGTCTCAGCCTTGGTGCTGCACGCTACTGAATCCCAGTGACTTTGAACTGCGGTACCATTTTGACAACATTATCTTCTGGCAGTTGAATTATATGGGCTATCCAATTCATTCTATTTATTTTTATGTATTTTAATGATGTCAGATAGTTTATAATTTCTATATAAACATATAAATATATGTATTACATATTCTAGTTGTGTTACCACATTGTATGTATTTAAGCAGTCGCCCATCAGAGTCCCGAAACCTTATTGTTGCAATACATTTAATCAAATAAAAGCAAAAAAATTCACAGAAATGTTTTAAAAAATAACTAATTTTATGGTTTTCTTTATTCCCAGCGAAAAAAATTATATTGCATTATTTCTGTAGTCGTAATCTTTTTATCATGGTAATAAAAATACTAGGAAAAACTTAAATGAATTAAATAAAAGTATAACACAACAATTTGGATATTAGTTTGTAAAATAAATTATTCTACATTTCTATAAAATTCAACTTGTTACCTTCGCAAGATCCAGAACAAAAATCAGCAACATTTGAGAAGCTTTTTTTAAAAATATTTTTGTGTATGTGAGCTTTAATTAAGGTATCCGACTCCGTTCGGAACATTGATTTTAAAAAAGTGTATAACTGGATAATTTTCATGATATTTAGTGTCACTCAGATTAGAATACCCGCATAAAATTGTTTTAAGGACATTTTGACAAAAAAATAATTTAAATAAAATATTTTGACAAAAAATTATAATATTTTGCCTGTATACAGCTCAGACCTCTCTTAGAGGCTCAACTAGAATTGTTGAAAAATTCACATAATTTTCAGAGTTACCACCAATTAAAATAATTATTGGCGTTTTTTCCTTAAAATTGCTTCCCTCTGTTGTCGTAAAATATGAATAAACCCACTTCTAAGTTGTATATTTCAAAAATTCTAGTTGAGCCTCTGTAGAGAAGTCTGAGTTATATACAGGCAAAATATTATTATAATAGAAGCAATTTTCACAAAAGGAGAACATTTGGAATAAAGATTATTCTAAGCTATTTTTTTGCCAAAATATTGTATTTAAATAAATTTTTTGTCGAAATGTCCTTAAAACAATTTTATGGATATATTCTAATCTAAGTGACAGTAAATATCATGAAACTTATCTATTTATGCGCTTTGCAAAATCCCGGTTCCGAACGTAGTCGGATACCTTAAGTTTTTGTTTCAATAGAAGTTAGTAATGTGACCAAAATAGTATACTATTCATAACGTTTATTTATGTTTTTAGTAGGGTATTACTTAATAAAACAAGTAACATATAAAAAAATATGTCTCTGTTCCTACTTAGGTCAGCAAAGAAAAATTTTATTTTAGTTACTTTATATTAAATACAAGGTGATCAGAATTAAAACACCCCTACTCTGAGCTCTCTATACATCGAACTACTCAGTGTAGAGGCTCCAAAATTGTTGAACATACTATTCAAAACATGGGGAAACAGATTACGCGAAAAAAAATAGTTCCGAAACACCGATAGATGGCGCTGTACACCAAATAATCTGAAAAAAGGAAAGAATTATCACAAAAAACAAAAACAAAACACATGCAATATGTAATTTTCCTTTTTGATTTCTATTGCTGATATGAAAAAAAAAGAAGATAAGAAAAGTGAGAAGAAACTTAAACTGTCATTGTAATTGAAATTTCACCCTGTAAGCACAAAAATTTGCATAAACCCTTGGTTTGCAGCTTGTTCTTGGCATAAAAAGGGATGAAACTGGGAAAATGTCATTCTTATCATTGATGGCTGTCACGCTGCCAGAACGCGCTTTGTTTGTGAAGCTGTTTTATGAAAGCAAAGGAAATGCTGCAGCTGCAGTTCGGGAGTTTCGTCGACTTAAAAATTTACGCAAAGGACCATTACTTCCACAAGCTCTAAAAAGAATGATCGCTCGATTTGAGAAAACTGGACATCTTGGTGTTCAGCCGGGTCGAGGACGCAAATCGACCCGTTCAGATGTCGTTGAAGATGTTGCCACCGCTATTGTTGATCAGTCAATAGATAACGTCATAGGCTGTAGTAGTGCCCGTGCAGTATCATGACACTTTGGTGTTCCCTACAGCACAGTGTGGAATGTACTGAGAAAAGTGGTGCACTTTTTCCCGTACAAAATTCGTCACAATCAGCAGTTGATGGCCAACGACAGGGAGAAGCGACTGACCTTTGCATTGACATTCCTGGCTTGAGTTGAAGTGGATGCATCATGGCCGTGGAAAATTCTATGGAGTGACGAAGCGCATTTCCATCTAAGTGGAACAGTCAATACCCATAACTGTCACATTTGGGACACGGAAAACCCTTGCACCTTCCAAGAGATTCCACTTCACTCACCGAAAGTTACAGTCTGGTGTGGATTCACAGCCACATTCATTCTTGGACCTTTCTTTTTCGAAGAGACTACTCGCAATGGCCCTGTGACCTGCACCGTGACGGCCAGGAGATACAAAAACATGCTTGAAAATTTTGTTGCACCCCAAATGCTACAACACCAATGTCTTGATTCAATTATCTTCATGCAAGATGGAGCGCCTCCACACATTGGACTCTGTGTGCAGAAGTTTTTTCGGCAACATTTTACTAATGATAGAGTTATTAGTCATGCGTTTCCGACAGCATGGTCACCTCGTTCTCCAGATCTTAATCCCTGTGACTTTTGGCTGTGGGGATATTTAAAAAATCTTGTTTATCGAGGACGTCTTATAAGCTTGGCAGATTTGAAGGACAGTATCACTCTGCATGTGAGAAGCATCTCTGTCGACCAATTACGATCAGCAGTTGAACAAACTCTCCACAGACTGCAGATTTTACATCTTGAAGAAAGGAATCATATTGAACAGCAATCCCTACATCGATAAGATATGAATGTTTGGTGCGATCGAATAAAATGTGTTACAAATGTGTATTTTGTGTCTTTTTAGTATATTCTCTGTTACACAGCGCCATCTATCGGTGTTTCTGGGGAACTAATTTTTTTTCGCTAAATCATTTCCCCCATGTCTTGAATAGAATGTTCAACAATTTTGGAGCCTCTACACTAAGTAGTTCGATCTATAGAGAGCTCAGAGTAGGGGTGTTTTAATTCTGATCACCTTGTAGTTGCAATTAATATAAATATGGATATACATATGACAGAATCAAACTATTAAGTGAAAAAATAGAAAACGATTTTCCATTTTCCTTTCTATATATAGTGTGGGACTATTTTGTTTGTTTGTTAACTATTTATTCACTAATTAAATTTAATTATCCTAAGAAAATAGTATAGTGAAAAAGAAATTAAAATCTCAGAAATTAGGACATCCCAGGTGGGATTCGAACCCACGCCATTCGGATTGGAAGACCAAAGCGCCATTCAAGTCCATTGCGCAACAGGGACACAACGAGCGATTTCCCTTTTTTATATATGGTGTTGGACTATTATGTTTGTTTGTTAATATTTATTCATTAATTAAATTTAATTAATGAATTTAATGTTTCATAAAACTTTATTAACATCAAGTGTCATCCACTAAACCAGGGGTGTAAAACTCAAAAGCTAACGCGGGCCAAACAAACAAGGTTTAACTTAAGGTAAGTCGCAAAAGAAATCAATATTCATAGAAACGTAGGTTTATATCGAATAATACATTATAATAAACATATAAAAAACAAAAAATTAATTTTTATATCCTGAAACTTGACATCTCTTTTCTGTTGCTACCTTTCCAATTTCGGGAGACATTTTTTAAAAATTTTATTATGTATTATTGTGTAGGGATGTATTAGCCGGGTTACAAAAATGTTTGTTGTGGACCGCGAGTTTGATTCCCCTGCACTACGCGTTTTAAAAAATGTATTTGAACTTCAATGGAACAATAAAAAGTATTTTATTAACGATTGAAAATTTGAACAATATATATACATATATATATATATATATATATATATATATATATAAATATACTAGCCGTTACCTACCCGCTTCACTGGGTATTTCACGATGTTGTATATATGTATACTGTTTACATATATATGAATTATTGATATCTAGCTTTAAGAATTCGATAGTATTGAAAAATATATTTATAGCTGTTACACTCTCGCCCCTTGATATAAAAAGAACATAAATTATAATACCTAATTTCTACTTATATCTAAAATAGAAGAAGAAAGATTTTTTCGCTCACTTAACCTAATAATCAAGTGGATTTCCACCAAAGCAACATTCAGTGGATCTCTAATCCATAAAATAAACATGCGTGCTAAATTTCAAGTCTAAATCTAACAGAGCAAAAACGGAATTTTTATCATCAATACCTCGTTGACAGCATTCTTAGCGGATTCCAATTCAACAAAAGAAGCATGCAAACCAAATTTTATTATTATAGTCTTAGCAGTTCAAAAACGGGAATTTCGTCTATCAATACGCCCCAATAGCTCTCCCCGCTTCCCCTGGAGTTGATTTCCGTAAAATCCATTCTGAGTGGAACTCTATTCAACTAAAAAAAAGTGCTCAACAAATTTCAAGTAAATGAGTTAAATTCAAAAACAGGAATTTTTCTATAACACGCCTTAATCCCTCGCAACCCCACTCCTTTGGGGTTCCGTTTTCGCAAAAACTTTTGTAAAAGGACCTTTATTCCATGAACTGAACATATCTTCTAATTTTCAAGCAGGTGGTTCTATTAGTTGAAAAGCGGAAATATTTATCTATTACGCTCTTTAATCACCCTCAGTGAGCCTTGGGGATCAATTTTACCCCAAACTTTTTGTAGCGGATATCTACACCATGAAAGGAATTCGCTTATATACCAAATTTTAAAACTGTACGTCTAATAGTTTAAAAATGGAAATAATTATCTATAACGCCACTTAAGCGCCCTCAATGCCCCTTGGAGGTCGATTTTTGTAAAAATCATTATGTAGGGAATCTCTACTTTATGAAAGAAATCTGTGTACCAAGTTTCACGACTGTACATCTAATAGTTTAGTAATGGATATAATTATCTATAACGCCCCTTAAACCCCCGTAACGCCCCTTGGGATTCGAACTTTGCAAAATCCGTTCTTAGCTGACGTCTACTCTATGAAGGAAACATTCCTCCTAAATTTCAAGTCTGTGGGTTTAATAGTTCCGGAGATATCGTAATTAGTCAGTGAGTCAGTCAGTGAGTGAGTGAGTCGCTTTTCTCCTTTATATATATAGATAGGGAGAGTAGGAATTAATAGTAGGAATTGAAAAAGAAATCATTTATATCTAGTGTATTAAATCAGAAGATAAACAATATATAATTTTTTTTTATCCTAGCCTCACATATTTTTCAATTCCTACAATTAGCTCACTCTCTCTCTCTCTCTCTCTCTCTCTATATATATATTTATTTACTTATCTTGGTGGAATTTTCAATCCTTAATAAAAAACATTTAAAGCGTTCAATTGAGCTGAAATTTTATATACATGATTATTTTGGATGACAATACAATAATTTTTAATTATAATTAATAAAAATTAATTGATTAAAACTAATTATTTAAAGAATTACAAATACAGCCACGTTGGCGATTGCTACATGATATACATGATTGTTTTGGATGACAATATGATACTTTAATGATAAGTAATAAAAATTATTTACCCCTTAATGTTGTGATTCTGTCATATGTATATACATATTTACATTAATTGTAACTATTTAATAAAAGTAACTAAAATAAAAATTTTCATTGTTGATCTAAGTAGGAATTGACTTAAAAATTTGTTTTTACATTACTTGTTACATTTATTTTAAGCCGTACACAATTCTTTGTAATTCAAATTTAACGAATGATTATTTTATTTGTTGATAATCTTATGCACATATGCATCAATACTGAGCACGAAAACTATGATTTGTGATTTCACATATTAATTTCGTGTGTTCTGTGATTGACAAGACATTTAATTAAGTTTAACTTCATTTGTACATCGGGAATGTGTTTCGCTTTGATATTAATCTACTAAAATGAACAGGATTCATGCGATATTGTAATTAAGGATAATTAGTTCTGCTCGTATCAAGGCATCAGAAGCCTTATTGTAGTCATTACTACAAAAATATTTGTTAATGTAAGGCTCACTAATAGTTTAAATCGATGCAATTTGATTCAAACGTCACATTATTAAACTTAGAAAGGATTTTCAGGAGCAATTCTAATAGTTCTAATCAAGTATTTCTCACAAGTAAACTTACTCAGCAGCATAGCTTATTTTATGTTTGTATAAGAAGTAACTGCATAAAATTCCTACTATTAGTTCAATCATTTGAAGCGCTCAATTTAGCTGAAATTTTATATCATGCAAAAAGCTTTTTTTTTGTTTAATTTACAATTCACGTAAAATTAACATTAAAAACTTAATTATCCTTCAGTCTGTATTGTTTAATTTTGCAATTCACCCGTGTGAAAAATGGGTATACCCGTGAATTGTAAATTAAACAAAAGTAAAAGCTTCTTGCATATCTTAGCTGAACAATAAAAAACCATGTTTACTAAATTTAAGTCTCTAGATATAATAAATGATAAAAAAAACTTTTTTTTATTTATAACACCCCGTTACTCTCTTGTTAGTCAATTTTTGAAAACACCTCCCTTCTGCTCAGCAAAAGTAACACATTGTTACAAATTTTGTGTAAAAAACGCTTAAAATAGTGTAAATAATTTGTGTATGGATGTGCAATGCGTTAATATTACTTTCTGATGCATTTATTTTATGTTAAATAGCTGTTACCCACGACTTCATCCAGGTTCGCAACTTCGTTTAACAAAAAAGTGTTTATTCAATTCGCAGAATTTACGAAAATTTAATAATTATGTATTCAACGTTAAGAAATACCTATTCTATAAGCATAGTGTCATTCTTCTACTTTTTGAATCGATGTTTCGTTTTTGAATATTTTTTTCTTTGTTTTTGTTGAGCAAGGGGTGAGAGGGACGAATGATACTGTCGGTGGGGGGAGGACTGTAAAATCATTAGAATCAAAACAAATCTAAGTAGCTGTAGGGTGAAACGAGCACAAATGAAGATGCAAGCAAGGGTTGAGAGGGACGCATGACCTTCGACACTGTCGATGGGATGAGGACCGTAAAATCATTAAGATCAAAGGACATGAACAGGAAACGTCGCGAGAGGCAGCAACCTAATCAAACAAAAAGTTTGACATAACTGCTAGAAATCGTTGAGACAGAAGGCTCGCGAAATAAAATAATCCCTATTGAATAAAAATAATCCCTATTGAATAAAAATAATGCCTATTGAGTAAAAATAATCCTTATTGAAATAAATAATCCTTATTTGAATTGGATATTGTTCACTGTTTCATTGGTTTTAATTTTATTTCCGCAGAATCCTAAATTGTTTTCCTAAACTAAAAGTAGCCTAAATTACTCCTTATAACATTAGCTATTTGCCAGTGAAAATTGCGTCAAAATTGGTCTGGCCGATTCAGAGATTAGTTGGAACAAACAGACAGACAGACAAAAATTTTAAAAATTGATTTTTTTATATAAGTACCGTATATACTTTTAAATGGCTTTAATAAAATCTGTTAATTTCAAATTACAAACAGACACTTTATTTTTATTTATATGTATAGATATATACATATATAACAAAATATTTAAAAAATATAAAATCTGGGATAATATAAAAATGTATACAAATTCACTAAACCAAACACAGTTTATAGAAAAATACCACAAAAGACACATAAGAATAAAAAATCAGAATTTAGATTGAATTAAGCACACACACACATAAAGGGTGTTTTTTTAGAGGTATAGAACTCTTTAAATTGCAATAAAACAACGATGTATTATTCGATTGACATGAATTTTTTTTATTCGAAAGATAATCTTGTGGCATTACATTTTAAATATGATTTCTGGCATAGGACTGCCACGGCTGGGTCGGATGTAGTCCAATCTGGACGTCCAATTTTCGTGACTTTTTCCAACATTTGTGGCCGTATATCGGCAATAACACGGCGAATGTTGTCTTCCAAATGGTCAAGCGTTTGTGGCTTATCCGCATAGACCAATGACTTTACATAGACCCACAGAAAACAGTCTAGCGGTGTTAAATCACAAGATCTTGGAGGCCAATTCACAGCTCCAAAACGTGAAATTAGGCGGTCACCAAACGTGTCTTTCAATAAATCGATTGTGGCACGAGCTGTGTGACATGTTGCGCCGTCTTGTTGGTACCACAGCTCCTGGACATCATGATTGTTCAATTCAGGAATGAAAAGGTTAGTAATCATGGCTCTATACCGATCACCATTGACTGTAACGTTGTAGCCTTCATCGTTTTTGAAGAAGGATTCCACCAGCCCATAAAGTGCACCAAACAGTCAGTTTTTC